AAATGAAGCTATCTGAGCATAGCCATTCATGTCTATGTCTTTTTTGGTTGGTGATTTGACAGCACACCTTGAGTGCAGAATGGGTGATATATAGAATACATTTTGTGTGTGTGTGTCAGTACTTGAAAATTTCTTTAGGTGTTCTGTATCCTTGTGTTTTGTAGCACTGACTTCCAGCATTCTTTGTTTTATTTTGGTGTTCCTGTGTGTGTACGCATGTGCATGGGTCTGTGTGAGGCATCACTCTATATCCACTGCAAGAAATTTTTCTTTCCCTTTTGTTTTTTCCTAAAGGAAATACTTTATCCTCTAATCTTGGTCCAAGCCCACTCTGAGTAAATTACCAAATATGAATAGAACTCCTTTATCTGTTGACAACATCAATCCAAAATAAAGTTGCTTCCTTGGGGGCAGAATAAAATCACCAGATAAGAATGGTTTATTTCACTGGTCTGCTGACTTTGTATGAGCTAGATGTTTAATAAAGTTAAATGGAAAGAGAAAATCAATTTTATCTTACTCTTGTTGTTCAGAGAGGTTGCTTCTATGGTGCTTTGTGAACAAAAGGAGTGCAAGTTAATTCTTTCAACCCTGTCTGTATCAGATGAAGGATAGCAACCTGATCCCTTGTTCCCAGCATATAATATTAAAAGTTCTATGCACAAGGATATTTCTCTGGTGACATGTTCTGGTAGACTCACATCTACACATCTTCTGAAATTAGGGACCAAGAGAAAAGAAATTTTGAAAGCAGAAGTTTGAATCAAACTTTTTCAAGTTTTTGTGATTAAAGAAAGATAAACAGCATATGAAGCCAAATAAATTCCATGAAAGTATTACTCTAAGCCTTTGAGTTTCTCACCTCTCTCTCTCTCTCTCTCTCTCTCTCTCTCTCTCTCTCTCTCTCTCTCTCTCATTCTCTCTCTCATTTGGTTGTGTATACTCAGCTGCCAAAGAACCATCTATTCAAAATATATCACTTTCTATTATGTGTGGTTGACATCATTATCTGACCATAGAAGATTTGATCTATTTCTTAACTGTTCCATGAATTTGATTTTATGAGGTAACTGTAGTCTGCTGATTACTGCACATGTAATATAAATTGAAATGAGGGGAAGTATGGAATTTATAACTTTGTTCTTTCATAAAATTGCACCATTGTGTCAGTTATTTTGTAATTTGAAGTAATTTAAAAAATTTTTAAATTCTGATGAAACATTATTGGTATTTTGCTAGGGATAGATCATCAGGATACTGCCCTAGTTGACATAGAGTTTACTCTCCAGGGTTTCCAAGATAGAGGCTTGGACTAAGAGTGGTTGTGCTGTACTGCTGGGGACCTTCAGACGTGGGCTTCACTGGAATCAATATGGTCAGAGTGCTATCACCATCATAAATGTATTAAAATCTGGCTTCTGGGAGTTGATCAGGCCTACCAAGTGTAGACTTGTTCCTGTTAGGGCCAGTAGACATACAAACAGTAAATCTGGGACTTGGAGGGATAGATAGCTCATTGGTTGAGAGCACTGGCTGCTCCCCCAGAGGACCCAGGCTCAATTCCCACATCCACACCGTGGTTCATAACCATCTGTAAATCCAGTTCCAGGTGATCTAACGTCATATTCTGGCCTCCAGGAGCACACAAATGGTGCTGCAATGGGGACCAAAACCAGGCAAAACATCATTACATCTATAATTTATTTTTTAAATGATTAGAAGACTAAAGAGAAGGCTCTGATGTTAGTACCTTCTAGAAAATATAGGGTCAAATCTCAGCACCAACGGATAGACTCATGATCCAGTCTCAGGGGATCCTATGCCTTCTTCTGCCCTCAGTTGTATCAGGTACAAATGTGATGGACAAAGATGCATCCAGGAAAAGGCAGAGCACTCGTATACATTAAATGAATGAATGAATGAATGAATATATATATATATATATACATAAAGTTTAAGACAGTGAACCTAGTCCATAAAGTTCTTGTGTCCTATCTTCTACGCATGCTCCTTCTTCATACTGTGGATTCTCTTTTATTTTGCCAAGTCGCTGTGCAGCTACCTGACCCAAAATGAGGACTCTGGCAAAAAGCCGTCTCAGCATTCCAGCCTCCAGAAATAATGATCCAAATTACCTCTTCTCTTAATGAGTTGCACAGTCTCTTTTACAGAAATATAAAATGGACTGTAATAGGTAACATGGGCACTTTGATATTATTGCTTTTAATCCATAAGCATGGGCCTTTTTTTTTTACATTCAATTATAGCCTTTTCAATTTCTTTCATCAATATTTTAGTTTCTATATAGACATTTCACTCACCGGGTCTTGGGCATTTTGTTATTTTTTAACTTACAGTTTTGCATTCACTCATTGATTTTTATGTGTCATGAGTATGTATATTTATACAAGTGTACCATAGCGTGGGTGTGAAAGTCGGAGAGCAACTTGCAGGCTCTCTCCATCTGCCATGTGAGCTTCAAAGACCAAATGTAAGTATATTGTTTGCTAGGCCCCTAGGACCCTTGTCTGATGAGCCTCCTCACAACTCACTGGTCTCCTGAGTACTTTGAACTTGTTTTTTGGGTTTTTTGGGGGGGTGGTTAGCCTCATATTTGCTAAGAAACTTAGTATGATCTTGAGCTTCTGATTTTTCCTCTCTTGCCTTTCAGGTTCCGTTATTATGGGCATAGGCCCTGCTTCATGTATCCCCATAAATACTTTATGCTGCACAGGACATCAAACCCATGGCTTCATGCATGCATGTGGTCTGAATGTTTCTAAAATTTCCTACCCACTTTAATATTTTCTCAGTTATGTGGTTTATATCAGTTTTTTGCAGGGGTTTCTCTCAAAGGAAACTGGTCTATTTATTTGTGCACCTATGGAAGATAGACAGCCAAGGGCTCCTATACTAGTATTTTATTGATGTCGTCTTCTCAGTAAATTTGAAAGCTAAGGTTAATTCTAGCATCACTTACAAAGATAAAGCAGGAACTATACTCCTGAGTATTACTATATTACTTAGAACATTCCCACTTTTCCACTGTCAGCTAAAGTTGTCAGACAAGGCAAAGAAGTAAGATTAGAAGTGAAGAAGCCAGTTTCACCAACAATAAGATTATGCACATAAAATGTATAAATAAATAATTTAATTAAAAGAACTAGTGAGATCTTGAGCAGTAATAATTTAGCATAAACATTATTTTTAACAGCCAGTACTCAATAGAAAACTTTATTTCATTATGAAGTGCAATTTAAAACTTTTAATAAATGAGAGTGTTTCTAAGACTATATACAAAAATGTGCAAAACTTCATGTAACCAATAACATTGAAAGTATTATGACTCTTTAAGCACTTCGAGATTTATGAATTGAATTGGAAGCAAATTTCAGGCAAATAATGAGGCTATGGTATTTTCATGTTCATAGTATATATTAACATGAACAACAGTAAAAAATGAACTAAAGCTATACACATCAACACGGACAACTTTTAAAGGCAACTCTACTCTTTAATAATGATACTTGCAATGTTAATTGTAGATAGAGTTTTCTTTATACCACCTGGTCCTGCAGTCACTTTTGAAATAATCACTCAGAGGCTTATTATTAATTGCAAATTGCTTGGCATATTGCTCAGGTTTATTACTAACTTAAATTAACCCATTTCTATAGTCTATATTCTGCCATGTGGCTTCGTGGTATTACCTGTTCCCTAGCACATCCTGTTTGGTGGTTCGGTGACCTCTGCCCCTGACTCTGCCCTCTTCTCCTATATCTCTGCTTGGATTTCTACCCGGCTCTATCCTGCCTTGCTATTGGTCAAGGCAACTTCATTAACCAATGGTAACACAGGGATTTATTCCACAGCCTTTAGTGCTTTCTGAGAGACGTTGTTTAGACTCTTCTCCACTTATACAATGGAATGACCAAATGGGAAGCCACTAGCCCAATGGTCACTAATGGCAGCCCGAGACTGAGACAGAGGGAAGGAACACTCTCTCGTGCATGCCTCCTACTTTGTGATTTTATTTTGAGATCTTAAAAATAATAAGGTCTACAAGCACAGAACATAACCAAAGTTTAGCATTCAGCTGAATGCTCACTGCTAACATTTTAGCAATGACCTGAATCACGTATGTGTCATTAGCATTCTGTTAGCTTCTGCAATGATTGCTGCATGACTTTGTGGTGTGCAGAAGCACAACTGTGCAGAATATAAATACAAAATTGATAAGAAAATGCACTCTAAAGTCTGTTGTTTTCAGCCGATAAGGTCACAATTGCTTTGCAAAAATAATATTCTTTAAAGATAGAGCCTATCAGGCTGAAGAGTTGGCTCAGCCATTAAAAGCTAGGCTCACAAGCAAAAATGTAAGAAAGAGCTTATCATAGAAAACTGATTCCCCCTCACCAGCTCCAGTTAGTGGCCCCACACCATCACACATGAGCAGTACTAACTGAACTTAGAAGCTATCAAAAAAAGAGGATATAAAGTTGGAAGAGGGGGTGTGTTAGAGAGGTACTGGGAGGGGTTGAAGGGGAAACAAAGGGCTAATATGATCATATTTATAGTGTCTATGTAGGGAATTCTCAAAGAACAAAATAAATACATGGTAAGTAAATATAATAGTTGCAATGGCATACCATATAGAATAATGGTTGTGCTTTTATATTGTCGTAGTCATTATCTGGAAGATGGGCCATACTAATGAGACTATTTCCTGAATATACAAAGAGAAGTGTAATTGACACATGTCACCTTCTTTGACAAGGTTTCCAGGATCACAAACTGTCAGACATTTTCAGCTTGGAGGTTAGTAAGCATAAAAGGTCATTAATCTACAGTTATTACAGCAAATTTCCATGGGAGGCTAAGTAGTCACATAGAAGTCATTCAAATGACCACAGAAACACATGCCAGATTGCTGTGGTGCTCCGCATGTTCCCGATGGACCACTTACTCTGCGTGTGGTAGCCATTATTGAGTAAGCTCACCTTTGAAGATGAGCAGTACATTTTCATCTTCAAATTTCATTGGGTGAACAAGCAATTGCTGGACCACTGTCACACAGGTGGTGGTGCACATACGTACCCCTGTCATGAAGATACCTAAATTAGTTTAAAGCTTGGACATGAGGTTATCATACCACACTTTAGGCATTATTTGTGATAATCTATCTCTATGAACAGTTCTCCTCTGTCCCTTATTAGTTCAGTGAGAGAAATTCTCCATTTTCCTCTTCATTTTAGAATTAATTATATATATTTTTTATTTTTAAATTTAAATTAGAAACAAGGTTGCTTCACACGTCAATTCCAGGTCCCTCTCCATTTCCCTCCCCTCCTCCCATGCCCTCCCACCAACCCCCCCCAATATCCCCTCATTTTCCCAGGGAGGGTGAGGCCCTCCATGGGGGTGTCCATGGTCTGTCATTTCATATAGGGCAGGGCCTAGACCTTCCCCTAAGAGTTCAGGGTGAGAGTGCATCTCTCATTGTTGGATGGGTGCCCAAAGTCCATTTGTATACCCATGATAAATACTGATCTACTACACAAGGCTCAATAGATTACGTAGGCCTCCTCACTGACACCCACATTCAGGAGGTCTTGATCAGTCCCATGCTGGATTCCCAGGCATCAGTCTGGGATTCAAGAGCTAACCCTTGTCAGGTCAGCTGTTTCTGGGGGTTAAACCAGCCTAATCTTAATGCCTTTGGTCATCAGTCCTCCCTCTCTGTCACTGGATTTCTTGAGTTTAGCTCAGTGCTTAGCCGTGGGAGTCTGCCTCTGTTTCCACCAGCCACTGAATGAAGGTTCTGTTTCCCAGACTCTCTGGCCATGGGATTGTAGGCTGGCACTCCCCAGATCTATGTCTAGAATTAATTTTTGAGAGATCGCAGTCCTGGGTTTATGGTGCACGTAAGAGTTTAACACTTTATGTTTAGTACCTAGTAGAGCGGCAATGACTATTATACAAGTTGATATGAAAATGTGGTCTTTTCTGTGCCAGCATTGGCAGAAATTTCTAGTTTGCAATGATAAATGTCTTATCTCAGCTCTGTTTAATCCCAGGTATTAAACCATGACATTATATTAGGTACTGGGAAGAGGAAGAAGAAATAACTTGGTTTCTCAAGAAACTCAGTATCTGGTAGGAAACAAGCAAATAGACATAATTTTAATATAATCTTATGACTAATGATAAACTGGGGATTCCTAAGAGAAAGGATATGTACCTCAAGAAAGTAATGATAAGAGATTTCAGAAGTAAGACAATGTTTTAGTGGATTGTTCAACAAGGGAATAAGAACAAGTCAAAAAAAGTTTTCAACTCAAGAAAAGACCAATGATATTTTACAATGTAAATTCTATACATGGGTAACCAGTGAAAAGAGAAAAATGTCAAGTCCAGATTAGTAAAGCAAAACTCTTGGGATGGGCAAGGGTGGGTCACAGGCACCTCATACGAGTGGGTAGAAAATGAGCACTCTTGGATGGATTTTTTTTCTAAAGGTCAATTTTATTTTGGATAGATTAGTTTTTGGGCTGGTGAATGTATTTCAAAAAGGTCAAGCTTGAAAAATGGAAGACCAGTTAAGGTGTAAGGTGAGAGACAATTAGAGAATCTCAAACAGGAGAAATGGTGAGTAAGGCCAAGATTCCAGAAATATTTAGGGATATGAATCAAAGGATCTGAGGTGTTCAGGATAATGGACAAGACAAAGACTAAGATGGCTTTCTTGGCTCATACTTGAGTGGATGATGCAGAGACCGACAGACAGACACACACAGAGACAGAGAGAGACAGAGAGAGAGGAGAGAGAGAGAGAGACTGAATCTGTAATAGAAAATGTAAAAGGCTCTAGGAGCAGTGGGAGATGCAGAATGGCAGGTTCTGGGGTTCTTCAATTATATTTTAGAAAACCAATGGGCACAGCTCTTCACACAGAAGATGGAGCTAAAGAGAAAGGGACTTAAAGAGTTCCCTGGAAACAGTCAATGCTTTGAAGAAATACAGCATAAATATAGATTAACAACAACCCTGTAGAGGACAGGAGTCCTCTGGTCAATACCAGGAGAAGAAAAACATTAAGCAATTGAATTCATAAATCTAATGAAACCTCATGCTAAAGCCATGCATATTAGTTTTCACCTGTGTAAAGGATTTTCAAAGGTCATATTAACTTATGTGAGACAAATAGCACTCGATTGAACCTTGTAGCCCACCTCTCAAAGCATGTTCAGTAACATGTTTTTAAAAGCATATTTTGTGTATGAGCAGCATAGACTGTTTTACTTTTCACCTACATTAAAATGTCTTACTTGTTGTGTGACAAAATTTTCCTGGGAAGATGCTACTACACTCACATCTACCCACCCCAGATAGGGAGTCCACAATAAACCAAAGTATAGATAAAACCAAAGTCCAACTTGGTGAACCAATGAGTTTCATTGGGATTACTTATAGGAGCAGAAATTATTTCAAAGATTGTTGAATCATTAAGGTCCACCCCAGTGCAAGTGACAGTTGACAATAATTAGAAACCTAAAGCACACTGCACAGCCTGCAAGCCGGTCAATGGGGAGGAGAGTGTCCTTTTCAGGTGGCTTGCTTGGTCTAAACCTCTTCCAGGCAGTGGGTCTGGCCTCACAATCTTATTTACTGCTGGCCTCATCTGAGAATGAATCTCAGCAGGCTTCATTGTCTACTCTTGAAAGGGAAGAGCCTAGTGAATCTGGTCAGCTTCAGGGACTTCCTGGAGCCATTGTGAGTTGTTTATCTTTGCCTTATGACACTTCCCTGCAGGGTGGACCATTGGAATCACAGAGGAAACTGATACACAGCACTTACTGCAGTAGAACTAAAGTGATATGTTTTCCCAATGTCTGTCAGTCCCTAAGATAGTCTCACCTGGAACACAAATTCATCACAAGAATAACAAAGAAAACTGAGTATTTTAAAACATGTATTCATATAAACACCAAAACAAACATTTCTATAATTTTTTCAAATTATGAGGTGAATTTGCCAGAACTTCAGCAGGTTGTGATTTATATTTTCTCAATGAACACTCCATTTTGTGCGCTTTATTATGAATTTGCTGAAGACAGACAGAATAAATGCACAGATACTCTATCCCAGGGTCCTATGGTCTGAGAAAAGAATGGACAAAAATCCAAGGAAACTAGTATTCTAAGAGAATGCACAAGGTACACACAGATGTGGGGGGGGGAGGGTTATGTAGAACAAGAGTTCCATGTTCAAAACCATCACATTTCAAGAGGCCAATATGTTAGAAAGTAACCCTTTTTAAATTAAATCTTGACACTTGAACAGTATAAACTGATACTTTACTATATGGCCATTGGGGTCTTTATACTAAGAAATAGGTTATCATTTTGGTTTGGTTTCAGTAACATAAGTTTATCCTCTATTTTCTTAAATAATGGAGCCAGAATTACAATAACATTCAGAAAGACAAGCCATATTTCCATACTATGAATCAAAACAGAAGACAGGTGTCACTGTTGAAAACTGTTTACAATGTTACTGAGAAATCTTAATTGTAAGCCAATGGAGATAAAGTTACAGCATGTAAACATTCCTTGTGTAAAATTTTTATTTATGAATTTATATCTTAAAGCACAAAAGGCCATCTTCAGAATCAGGCCTGATGACACAGATTAGGTTAGAGGATACCAAACATAAGGTCAACTTGGACAACTTAACAAGGGTCTGTTCCCAAAATGAAATAACCAGAAGGAGCCAAGAGAGAGTTCCACATGTACAGGCACTAGCCTCCAAGCCTGAGGACTACATACACATGTAGATGATCACATACACAGAGAGAAAACATATATATACATGTATATATATATATATGTGTGTGTGTGCATATTTGCATATATACATACAAACACATACATAATATATTTTATATATATTTACAATAATGCCAAAACAGTAGAGAGCATGCACAACCTGCACAGGGTCCTAGGTTTGACCCTCATCACAGCAGCAGCACCTTGAACTTGTGCCTTTCTTTTTTCTTACAAGTAGAACTACAAAGAGACATTTCATGGATATCCCGATGCAATGAGGACACATGTCTTCTTCTATCAAAGTTTGGGTGCCTTATCTCCCATTCTCCACTTTGTTATGGGAAAAGATGGTGTCCCGCAGATATCTATGTGCTTCGTTCTGCTGCCCTGGAGATACATATTCAACAACCATCAGAAATCACTGGAGGCTGAGCAGCCTTCACTCCCTGCCAGCTGAAATCAGAGGACTGTTGCGGATGTCAGTTTCTCTGGGATTCATAAAGGCAGTCGCCATAGCAACATCATTTCCCCAAGACACAGAAATGCTACATTTTATGTTTTTAATGGAGAATCTGAAGGTTAGATTATCACCATCTCCCCATATTCCATTTGTCCTCCACCTTCATACAGCTCCATTTTCATACACAAGGTTCTTTTATACTGGTTGGGCATAAACAATCACTCCGGATTTAATGGGAATAATACATGGAGCAGAGTATCCTATTTGGAAAATAGTGTTAGAGGACTTAGGGAAATCTTAGGGAAACCATACCTGAAATTAGAAGCATATTATTTAACCCTCTAAGGCCTTGTGAACTAGTTATTTGAGCTTACCTGTGTAAATTCAACAAAAGAGTTCTGTACAAGGGTCCAATAAAAATCCAGTTTTATAATTCAGTCAAACAGGTAAACACTTGACCTCCCATGTTTTCTTGTTTTCTTTGATGGCCAAGTTTGAAAGAGATCAGTCATAACTTTGAATGCGTTTTATTGAATTGGGAGTATGTGGGTGTGGTTACACGCTGGTGTAGTAAGTGTAAGTGCCTAAGAAGCCAGGAGAGGACATCAGATAATCTAGGGCTGGAATCACAGGAGGCTGTGAGTTGCCTGATAGGGGTGCTGAGAAAGAGCTCAGGTCCTCAACAAGAGATTCACAAGCTCCTAACTAAGAATCTTGAGTGATAATGGTAGAAGAAGGGATAGAAGGGACAATTGGCAGCATTATTTTACCAAAAAAAAAGGAAAATGTTTACTCACTTTTAAGTTGTCTCTT